GATGAAATACTGTTGTTTACTGATTAAAACCTGAAAAGTCTTATTTTTTACTTGTTATAACAGAAATGACTGTTCAAACAGTTGTGATTATGTGGTTTCTGACACTGTATGACAGGGTTATTAATAAAAATAGACACAAGTACAGAACAAATCCAAGCTTTGCGATGGCTGCCACTGTTTATTAGGTTCACTTTTTCATTTTTTATTATGGCCTTAAAAAAAAACTCTTAGAAAGGATGGTTCCTCAAGGTTCTTAAAAGGTTGGTTCTTTTGTAAAGACACTCATTCTATATAGAACCATGAACACTCAAAGATCCATTTCATGCTTAAAGCATTCTTTGCATGGTGAAATGGTTCTTTAGATTGATGGAGAATGTGTTGTATACGTTCTATATAGCACCAGAATGGGTTATGCTATTGTTATGTTGTCAGGCTTGCAACAATAGAAGAACGTTTTTGGTTCTATATAGAACCTTATACAACACATTCTCCATCAATCAGAAGAACCATTTCACCATGCAGAGAACCTTTTAACCATGAAATGGATCTTTGAGTGTTCAAGGTTCTATAGGACCATTTACTTTCAGAGGCATTCACAGGCCTTGTTCTCATCCTGAAATGTTATATTTTCACAAATGTAAAGATTTTACCATATTTTGAATCTGAAATCTGTGATCCACATTGTCATACTGTTGGACTTACTCACCTGTGCTGCTGAATCCACAGGTGGGACCAGCTCAGCAGAGGAGGACTCATCTGTTTCATTCATTTCACTGTTGATGAAAATAAAAGAAAATCCACTTATCTGAAGTTCTGCTGAACATCGTTGTAACTAAAATCTTTTTTAATATGCTATTTTTTAAGGCATCAACAGGGTTTGCTAATTATACTAACTGCCCTCCAAAATCAGAGTTTTTAAGCACGCTTTTGACCTCACGAGGCACATTAAGCTACAGATAATTAAACTGCTGACTTTGTTTACTGCTCAAGAGAACAGACTGCATATTTAAAATTTAAAATGACATTTAGTGCATCTAGTTAAAGGTTTTGTAAAAAAAAACAAATACATATATAAGCTATATTTGTTTATTAAAATATTATTGTTTTATATTATTATGATTATTATTATTGCTATTGTTGTTTATTTTTAACAATAAACAAACTACATTCAGTGCATCAACTCTAATGAACTTTGTAGGACAAATTCTCAGCAGCAGTTACTGAATTACATTAATAAATAATCAGAAATTCAATCAGAATTGAATCAGATTTTGTTGTTTTACTTTTCAATAAATCCATCCAATTTATGAAGGAGCTCTATGTACAGAAATAGATGTATATAATGTCAGAGACAGCAGATGCATCTCGTTTTTAACAGAGCTGTCAGTTAGATGCAGCCATAATAAATTGTCCCACAGTAGCACATATTTATAGATAAGCCACCTTATCATTAAACACTACCTGCATTAAAACTGTAGGTAGGACAATCTGATTTTGACAGCCTATAAAAAACTTTATCATGGGTCTGTAGTCTGTAGTATACACTTGAAGTAAGACTAAAATTAACATTAAAAACACAATAAAGTGTGGAAATTCTAAGTTACTACACTATACTACTAATATGTCCATGTGGTAAGACCAACAGATTGGTAGGGCAATTTGAGAACACCTGGTTTCCATCCAGCTGTCGAATTTGATTATAACAGTTATGCGAAACAATTCCACGTTTCCAGCATCTACAGTATAGGCACATCAAAGGGGCATGCAAATGTATGCAAATACTGTCGATTTTATTCAATACTTGCAGTTTCCATCAAGTGTTTTTACAATTAATAAGTCAAAATGTGTTTAAATAGATCATAACTTTCGCGAATATAAACATTAAGGTCACGTGCCTGATTCGAACATTCAAATTAGGTTAAATTAGCTTTGGTGTTTGTCACTAGTAATGAATTAATGAATGTTTACCTCCTACTGTAAGATGCCAAGCTGCCGTGAAGGCGATCCACCACTTGCCGAATGACCAAATGACGTGATATGGTCACAATAGACCACTGTAGTCTTGCGTCATTCTGTAGTCCTCGTTATGCCCATATTAGGAACTCCGGGTCTGAGCTCCATTTCTCTATGGCCAGAATGAATAGGGTTTTCGAAAAATCGCCTCTATCGCCCCCTGTGTTAAACAAAAATGTTCACAGTTCATAGTTTTGTCCTGTGTACATTTTTCTCCCGAATACCACTGGATCCTCCGAATTACGAGGCTGTTAAAGATATATAATATTAATACTGCTACACGTGAACTAAAGCTACTGCGCATCAATTTGATGTCACTAAGCTACACGACAGTAAGGCGGGCTGTGGCGGTGCTCTGACGATCTTATCGAAATGTTCTACCGTAGCGCATATTTACGGGTATACCTGTAAATAAAACCTCTAGGTAGGATATTTTGATAGGCTAAAACTCCTTATCGAAAATACTACCCGTGTTAAAAGTACGAGGCTGAATTTAGCTTCCTTTTTCGCAGCTTCTTGTTTGAATGTTTCCCGTTCCACCTTAACGCGAAATGATGCAACTTCTTTGACTAGCTATCACAAACATTAGCAAACGAGACAAAATACTGACCTGTCGGTTCTGTGAAACGGCAGAAGTAAGTTAATGTTACTCAGCTATTAAGCGGAAATAGAGAAACCTCCTCATATCATGCCTCAGTTTCTTTTTCGCCGGCTGCTTGTTCGATTTTTCAAGTTCCACCTTAAATGGCGCAGCAGTTCAGAACGTGACTGCTGCTCCATTTAAGGTGGAACGGGAAAGTCAAACAAAAAGCTGGCGAATGTCCCGAGAAAATGTCCTCAGAAAAATGTTGCCAGCATTAAAATTATAATTAGGATATTCTGATATCTTAAATCAGTTTATCAGGGGGTCAGCAGTGATATTAAGATTAAGGAGGCTGCCAGTCTAATTACGTGAATTCAGTGCGCTGTAGCTTTAGCTTACATGTAGCAATATTCATATTTCAACTCTTTAACGACCTCGTAGTTCAGAGGATCCAGTGGTGAGAAGAAATGTTCACAGGACAAAACGTGTCGGGTTCTGAACATTTTTGTTTAACACAGGGTGCGACAGAGGCGATTTTTCGAAAACCCTTTTCTTTCTGGCCCTAGAGAAACGGAGCTTAGACCCGAAGTTCCTGATATGGGCATAAGAACATAGTGCCGACTACAAATGACGACACGACTGCAGTGGTCTATAAGGAGATGAAATTCGACCCGCTTTTTAAAATTTGTCGACTGCTCTCAGTTCGTGTTAAGTAAACAAGTGTGTACTGCATTGTTGATTGTTTGATTGCAAACAAACAAACAACAACAACAAAAAAAACACGTCAAATGAATACCTGGCTAATCCAGAGAACTTGTAGTGTAACTCTAATGGAGTTCGGGTTTCTCAAACGCTAGAGGGCGCTCCCGAGCGAGTCTAAAAGGAACGGTTTAAAATGGAGCATTTGAACAAAATGTTTATAAATACTTAAACATTTGTAATATTAAAGAATACATGGAAACAGGAAGAGACCAGGCTCCCAATAAACCGGCTCTGGCAAATCCAGCTTCTGACAAAGTGTTTCATGAGAGTTGTAATTAATTTTCGAAATTATGTATTCATCTTTGACTGTTTGCAACATTCGTGGTATTGTTTCACTAGAATTGTAAATATTTTCATATGTATTCTTATATTCTTAATTATATATTCTTAATTGTATTTTCTTGATTAATATTCCCCTGTCCCCCCTTTTTCTACTTCTATCCTTCTATCAAGTTTACATTCTCTGCTTTGTAAGTCCTCTTTTGTTATAGCAAAATGATTGTTCATAAAAAGATTAATAGGCTAAATAAATAAAAAAAAAACAAATAAAAGGCGCATTAGAAAAGTATTGACATGGCTCCTACTATAATACTTAGTTACTATAATAACTTCATCAACAAGCCTCTAGAATACATTGTTATTTTTTTCATTCTACATGCTAAATTCTTTATTCACAAACAGAAGTTTTCGAATTCATGATTAATGGACCAAAAGAAACAGCCCATAATTACTTGGAAAAAAGTCTGGTTCCACTGACTTTGACTACCATTGACTTCCATTGAAAGTACAGTAGGTTTTTTCCTTCACCTGTAAAGTTACCATTTTGGAGATGTGAGGTTTTGTTCCGACAACAGCGATATTTTTGAATTACTATGACCAGCTTTACGGAAAGAAACTTTCCGGCTTTTCCTCTTGTATGTGTAGGTGTGTGTGTGTGTATATGTATATGTGTATGTGTATGTGTGTATATGTGTATGCGTGTATATGTGTGTGTGTATGTGTATATATGTGTATGTGTGTGTGTGTGTGTGTGTGTGTGTATGTGTATGTGTGTGTATGTGTATATGTGTGTATGTGTGTATATGTGTGTGTGTATGTGTGTATATGTGTATGTGTGTGTATGTGTGTGTATGTGTGTATATGTGTATGTGTGTGTGTATGTGTGTATGTGTATGTGTGTATATTTGTATATGTGTATGTGTGTGTATGTGTGTATGTGTATGTGTGTGTATGTGTAGGTGTGTGTATGTGTAGGTGTGTGTATGTGTATGTGTGTGTATGTGTGTATGTGTATGTGTGTATATGTGTATGTGTATATGTGTATGTGTGTATATGTGTATGTGTGTATATGTGTATGTGTGTATGTGCATATCCTCCTTTAGGTAAATAAGTTTTCTATGCAAATTATTAGGTTATATCTTTACTCTTTTGGTGTCATAATGTGCTTAAATGGTATGATGCTAACGCTGGGAAAACTGTTCACATATTGTGGTTCTGTTGTCCGATAATACGTTGCTTTGACGTTGGTTGTACATTTGTAAAATTCTTTGTGTATAAAAAAATGTATTGACACGGAACTAAAGAACGCTAGAGGTCCTTAGGAAATTCAGGCAAATATTCGGACACCCCGCAGAAGCAGCCAGTTGTATACGTCATCAGTTCCACTGATTGCTATGGAACAGCGTGGAATCAGTGCGGCTCCTCAGCGGCGACTGAATCACTGAATAACTGAGTTTTTTTACATATAAAAAGTGAGTCTTTTAACGTTTTATAGCGTCCGATATATAAATAGCTACGATAAAACTGCTTGGATGATTCTGTTCCCGCCGTGCTTGTCCAGCAGCTCCCCTGCATGAGATGGAAACTTGGTGAGATGGCTGGAAGCGTTTGCAGGAGTTCCTGATGTTCTGATGCTGCGGTGATGTGTGTTCTAGGTGTTTTAGGTTCCTTTGGTCCAGGTGGAGATGGAGCACAAGGTGTACATCTTGTTCCTTTGTGGATTTTTTTGTTTTAACGTGTTTGCTCACGGAGCCAGACAGGGCCAGGACATCAAATGTGGAGGTACTGTCAACATTTGAATTGAACTCGTGAGAAAAATTCATATAAATATGGCCCTTCATGTGCTTTACTTCATACACTGCATTCCTCACACACTCACAGTCACATGGGCTGATTTTCACAGAGCTCACAGAGTCTGTCCATTCATCAGTGCTGATCCTGGACCAGTGTCCTGATTTGAAAACCCTGCTGAGAAAAAGACCATTAGAACAATTAGGATTAAAACCTGATGGGTTTACTTTGTAATGGGAATTGGCTTAGTGGTGACTATTAGAGACCACTAGTTTCCTGTAGGACACCTTTAGATCCTATTAGGAAACCATCAAATGCGTCTGGAGTCAGTCCCAGAACACCTGTTAATCATTAGAGTCTTTTACACTGTGAAATTAACTCATCACGAAAACACAGAATACCATTAGTGACTATTGGACTCCACCAGAACCAGCAGAAACCTTTAATGGTTTCTGAGATATTTTCAGCAGGGTACCACCCCATGCCTGGTTCAAGGTGAAGTTCACATTTGGAAAAGTTGGCTTATTTGTTAAGCCCCCTTCTTTGTGTTTTCTTTTCTGAGAAATACTATACACTCTTAAAAAGATAATCTTTTCAAGGGTTCGTTTGTGGGGGCAGTGGTTCTGTTTAGATCCATGAGTTCTGCACAGAGCCATTTTATGCTTAAATGGTTCTTTGCCTGATTAAATGGTTCTTGTATATGGATCTTCATAGAACTTTTTTGAAAGTGGTTATGTAGCATTTAATAACTATTGGCATCAATGTATAGCATCAAAATGGTTCTCTTTTTGTTATCAGCATGACATTGTAACAATAGCAGAAAGGTTTTTGGCGCTGTATAGAACCATTTTCAAACAAGTTCTATGTAGAACAGTGTACAACACATTCTCCGTCAATTTGAAGAACTATTTCACAATGCAGATGGTTGTATTTACAACTCTTGGTTCTAAATAGAACCATTGTCTTCACTGACGTACCCTTGAAGAACCTTCCTTTTTAAGAATGCACTGTACTCAGGGGTGGAGAATACCTGAGTAGTTGTACTTCCTTAAAGTATTGTTTTGGATTATTTCTACCTTACTTGAGTATTATTGAAACTGAGTACTTGTACTTTTACTTAGTTACATTTCCAAGAAAAAAAAATATATTTTAGTCTTTGCATTTTCATTTATACCTTCAAACTACTTATGAATCTATCGATTTTTCTGCTAATCAGTTGAGTACATTTGTACATGAGTACAAATTGTTGTATTCATTAAAACATCAAATCATTGCAAAGTGAAAGAAATGTATAGCGGTGCTGATATCTCATATTTTGCGTGTAACATATTTGCCAGTGCCGATACAGTAACATTTATAAAAATATAGAAAGCAGTCACAAGTTTGCGCGCCCCTGGTCAAATGATGGATTTTACTGAGAGCACACTCTGTGCATTTTTATAACGTGTCATGGTTTTTCACACATCTTATTTGCAAAAACAGTTCTTTAAAGAGCCGATCACTAAAAGGTTCTTTTAAAGAACCAAAAATGATTCTTTTATGCCATCGCTCCAAAGAACCTTTTTGGCACCTAAATTTTTAAGAGCATTTATACATCTGTTTATACTAAAATGTCTTTCTTTGCATGGTTGTCTGCAAAAGTTTGGGCACCACTGGTCAAATTTCATGTTTGTTGTTGATTTTCTAAGTTACAGTTACTGTTTATTTACTGAGTTTAACACACTGAGAAAAAATTACACATAAAATGTGGGCTGTGAAAAGGTTATGGCACATTCTATATTTCATTTTTTATTTTTGTCAGAAAAATCAACAAAACGTGTAATTTGACCAAGAGTGTTCAAACCTTTGCATATGACTGTGTGTATATATAAAGTAACATATTGGTCAAATCTAAACATCCATCCAATTCCAAAAAGTTTAAGCAAATATCTCACTATACTGATGTGATTCTGATATTACTGTGAATGTCTACTATTTACTTTGAAATACTTGTGTATGTTTAACTGTCAGTACTTTTTTTTCACTCTTGACTGATTAATCACAGCTTGCAGAGCATTAGTTGATGAAATGGAATGGGCCATATCTCAAGTAGATCCAAAGAAAATGATCCAAACGGGATCATTTAGGATAAATCCTGATGGCAGCCAGTCCATAAAAGAGGTGAGATATTTACTGTTGTACAAGGTGTTTTGCACATACCCGTTTTCTTTTGCATGGTGTTCATATTCTTCCTTGGTAACTAGTGACTCAGTTGCGCTTGCTTTGATGCAGTTTAGCTATGTAATCTAGTTGATTTATTTTTTTTTATAATATATTTCTCTATTTCTCTATCATTGGTGGTCCAGGTTCCTCTTGCCCGTTCTGAGGGTCATCTTCTCGAACTAATGGAAGAAGTGTGTGACAGGATGAAGGATTACGGGGAACGCGTGGATACTACCACTAATCGTAAGACATATGTGAGACATACCTCACGCGACGGCACCTCCATGGATCTCTCCGATGTGACCTTAGACACAAGAGTCAGCGCCAGTTTAAAGTTTGCTGTAAGAAGTTGCATTTTTGCTTTCTTACTGGCTTTACCTTTGAGAGAAAGGTTTCTTTACCCAGTCTCCTGTAGCCCACCCGCCATGATAGGAGTACCAATCTTAAAGGGAATTCAACCAGTTTTTCAAATTTCTGTACAGTTTGGTGGTTGAAGCCATTCAGAGTGGTTTGATGTGAAATGGTTCATTTGCAGAGAAACTGATGTCTCTACAGTGGTGGTGATAGGAATGAGGGGTCCTGACGTCTACAATGCAAATATAGCCATTTTATTTACTACCCAAAACCACCAGTGAACCTACGCGTGTCCTGATGTCGTTGATGTTGATGATGGTAAAATAGTGAAAAACCTGAAAAAAAATCTTTGGGGGCTATTTTGCCTCTAGAACACCCTTCATGTATCCCTCCACTATGAATAATTCACTTATTCAGTGTCTGTTTTTTGCTGTTGTAGTTTTGGCATATTTTGAATAAACAATGTCCAGTTGTAGTCATGGCAAAATTTAAATTAAAAATTAAATAAAAACACAGCTGGCCCATGGATTTGTGGAGTTTTTTGACTATGGCTGAATAAAAAAATAATAATAATAATTACTATGTGATTGAGTTTGCCCCCCCGATCTAGAAGATGAAGAAAGTTTCGACAAGCGTGTAGTTGGGCTGTTTGTGTGACTGTGCCTTTAAGACTGATATGTAAATGAGCTCTGTTCTGATTGGCACACTACAGGACAGCCATTCATTTAAAAAGCACTTTGAGCTGAGCAGTTTAGCCCCACCCATTCACTTATTAATATGGGCCCTTTAATGTATTATGGATAATGCTTAGTTTCAGTTAATCAACTACGGCAGTTAATGCTGAGAATTGATTATTGTCTTTCTGAAGTAACACTGGGCTGTTCTGTCTTTTTTTCTCCTTAACTCTACAGTGTGAAACGATTGTTGAGCAGAATGAGGACGAAATTATTGAATTCTTTGCTCATGAAACGGACAACGTTAAAGACAAGCTCTGCAGCAAGAGAACAGGTAACACCTACAAACAGAATTTAATACGGTTGTATTCTTTTCACACACAATACTTAAATAAAATTCATGTGTATACAACTACATAGGTATATACTACTCATTTTTAAGAGCGTATATACATCTGTTTGTACTAAAATGTCCTCCAGCTTTCTATGCTTCTTTATAAGGTTGTATCCAAAAGTTTGCGCACCCCTGGTCAAATCATGTGTTGATTTTCTGAGTGTAAATAAGTGAACACATCCTCTACAGAGACACACTTCTGCACAATTTAATACACAATTACTGTTTATTTACCGAATTCATCATTGAAATTGTGGCACATACCCACCGCCCCACCCCACGAAATATTTAAATAAATAGAAATTGGGTTAAAAAAAAATGCCGTATTTAAGGTTGTTCTCCGTAGAGGATGTTATCTCAACAAAATAATAAAAAAACTTACTCATTTTATTTGTGTGTTTAAACCTTTAATGTACTAAAGCTTTTAATTATTCAAATGATTCAGTTTTGAAAGTCTTATGATTCTGAGCCTTAATTTCAGATTTTGTCCTGTTTAAAATTTTTACCTGATATCCCTATAAATAAAAAGCAACTATTGAGCTGATGGTTGTTGTTGTGCACAAGTCTAACTTGATTCATTTTGATTGCGCTTGCAGATCTTTGTGACCACGCACTTAAGATACCTCACGACGAGCTATAACATCACAGAACTACCTGCCACTGTAAAGAACTGATCATCGGTGGTCTCACTCCAGCACACTTGAATTTGTGATGCAGTGTCTGTGTGATCAGATTTGATCTTTTAGGTTGGATTAAATGTGAAATTGCATATTTCATTGCATATGTTAGCATTTAATCCAGTCTAAAATGAACTGGCCACAGACCTTTGTTTATGTTGGATATTATTTTTTAAAATCTGGTTGTGTATTATGTTCAGGCTGATTGTCCACTGTGCATTGGGTGCTATGAACACAGCTCAAGCTCGTGTTCATTTGTCTACAGTGTGACGGAATTAAAGTTGTATTTCAATTTAAAAGTGTTGGGGAAAACTGTATGCGTCGTATATGCAAGCTGGTCTCTAAAAACTGCCTCAAGTATTATTTGTTAACATCCACTTTTTATTTTAGTGTTTTTAGTGAGCCACAAAGCCCTGTTGATGAATCTTTTTTTTTCTTTGCAAGGTTTAATCTGTGTTTCTTTCTGCTTTTCATGTTGATTGCATTTATAGTGGGAAGTTAACTGATTTCTTTTTATTTCCTGTAACTTTATTCTTTCTTATTTAAGGACAGGTTTCTCTGTCTTTTGAATATATTTGGCTTTTTCCACTTAGAGGCGCAATTTGTCAGACTTGGTACTCTTACAATTATATGACCTCCAGCTCCTGTTGTTTGATAAGGATTTATGAAGCCTTTATTTCTACAAAAATGGTTTCCATTGATGCCCTTTGGAAAAATAAAATATACATTTTGTGTAGTCGGACTGCAAGTCTGGTTTCAATGTCAGTTTTGATGTTATAAGCTAAACAGAGAACCATTTTTCTGCATAATTCAGTGGTTGGGATGCGAACAAAATCACAGAAATTTGGAGAAACATATGAAAGGCAGATAATTCTGTGAACTAATATGCACGTTAAAGGGAAATTCCACATTTTTCAAATATCTGCATGATTTAGTGTTTGAGATGTTGAGTGATTCAGAGTGGTTTATTGTGAAATGGTTCAGGTTTCTTTACAGTGGTGATGGGGACCAGGGGTCACCATGACAACACAAATATAGACATTTTATTTACTATCCAAAACCAGAGTTTTATATAGAATGTCGATGATGAAAAAATAGTGGTAAATATGAAAAACAACGCCTTATGAAGCTTTTAAAGCCATTAAACATTTCTGGACGTCTGGTTCCTATCACCACCATTTTGAACAATTTCTGACTTTGTAGTTTTTCCAAGTGTGGAATGTTTTACATGCAACCGATCTGAATGATTTTTATTTACATCTCAGCCTTTTAATTACGCAGACATTTTTAGAAATCAGCAGATTTCCCCTTTAGTTGGTAGAGAGAGAGTGTGTGTTCAGTGTGATGCTCGCTTTACCACTTTCAGCTTTGAGCTTTGTACCGAGATGCTTTCAGGGAAACCAGCCTAGAATTGTTGAATCGGTTGTGTGAAGAGCAGAAATAAACAGTAAAATGTTTTGCAGCGAGGCTTTCCTGTAAGTTCAAAAGACTCCACTAGATGCAGAGACGTGAGATGCACCTGGCTTTACGATACTTCCTGTCATAGTTCCACATTGCTGATTCTGTCAGACAACAAAACCACACATTTCAAACATCACAGTGAGACAGAGTAGTCTGTCTCCATCAACTGCAGTAAATATCGAGCTGTGAACACTTAAAACGTGTCAAGAGTATTTTTACAGTAATAACCTGTTACAACAGAGTCAGAACAGGAACAGAAGTGCATCTGGTAAGTTACACTGTAGATGAGTCATTTCATGAAAACTCTGCTATTTGAGTCCACAACAGTTGATGCCTGAGATCTGATAATGAGTGTTTTTAAGTTTAAATATACAAATTTAAAGCTCATCATTAACAGCATATGAATTCTTTTATTGAAAAAGAAAAAATGTTGTAGTCTGAAATATCTGTGTATTGATCAGTCTACTGAGTTGAAAACACATTTTAGACTTTTAGCTGACTTGGACTTCAGACTAAAATTATTAGTAAGCTACAATTTTCTGCACAATTAAGTGGTTGAGATGTAAACAAAGTTCATTCAGAGTGGTTTGGTGTGAAATGCTCTGTTGCCTCTGTTCTAGAGAAACTTACAGAGTCAGAATTGTTCATAGTGGTGGTGATAGGAACCAGACGTCCACCTCTAAAAGCTCCCTCACAGAAAGTTATGGTTATGATTATGAATACACAGCCTGAAGTCTAAGTCATTGTTTTATAGTACTTTAGTGATAAGGCTTTTAATCTAAAATGTGTTTTAATCAGTTTATTTTAATCCGTTCATGCTGGAGGGATACAAGTAGGATGTTCTAAGGCAAAACAGTCCCCAATAAAAAAAAAAACCTTATTTTTTCATATTTAACAATATTTTACCGTCAACATTCCATATAAAACTCAGAAGACTTGTGTAGCTTCACTGGTGGTTTTGGATAGTAATTAAAATGTCTATATTTGTGTTGTTGTCATGGTAACCCTTGGTTCCTGTCACCAATTACTTTCTCTTTTAAATGACACATAAGTGTTACATTAGTAAACTCATTTATGGTAGCAAGAGCGATGAAACACTATAGTTTCCAAAAGCCATTTATTACTTCTGGCAGTTCCATGTTTAGTCAGGTTCTGAATTGTGTTTAGGACCATTAATGTAACTTACACATGGGCAGATATCTAGTGAGTTTAGCTATGATAACAGCTGCCCTCAGGCGAGGCAAGGGAGAGAGAGATCAGTCAAGACGGTTCACGCCCTTAGGCTGGACACAAGGTTGACTGTCATATGGCCTTTCAGAACTGTCGGGCTGTCAAGGTCTTAGAATAACCACTACAATCAGGTCCATAAATATTTGGACATTGACAAAGGTATTACTTTAGCTGTCTACCAGAGCATTTCGGAGTTGATTTAAATAATGAGTATGAGCTCTAAACCCCTCCCACCATTTTGGGCTCAAAAGTAGTTGGACAAGCTAACAATTTCCAATTAATCTGTCATTTTAATACTTGGTTGCAAATCATTTGAGTCAGTTACTGCCTGAAGTCTGGCACCCATAGAAATCTCCAGACGCTGAGGTTCTTCACTGGTGATGCTTTGCCAGGCCTTTACTGAATTCCCATGCAATGACACTACCTCCACCATGCTGGACAGATGAGGTGGTTTGCTCTGGATCATAAGCCATTCTGTTCTCTTTCCCAAACGCCTCCTTTCCCATTATTCTGGTACAAGTTGATGTGTCTCTCATCTGTCTATAAGATGTGCTTTTTAGATGTTTTTGGGCAAACTCTAATCTGGTGTAACATATACCTTGAAAATAGACGAGCAGCCAATTGTCCAATTACCTTTAAGCCCCACTTTGTATGAAATAGGAATTACAACCATTATCATTAACCTGGTTTGGATGTAAACACCCTCAAATTAAAGCTGAAATTCTGCTCTTTGAGTTCAAATTCATTATTTCATTTCAACTCCAATATGCTCACCCTTTCACCCTCAGGTGTGAATATAAAATAAACAGTAACTGGTTTGGAGCTCATAAGACTCAGAAGGGACACTTCTGGTGTAAACAGAAAATAACAGCTATAATAAAAAACTAAACTATGCCACTAAAATAGATTTTAGCATGTGCTGTTTCGATAAAGGCCAGAGTACTTACAAGCATACTAAGTGAATCCTGTTCCATCGATTTTCCTTTCTTTTTCTTTTTTAAATTTTTGGTCAGCGTTTCAAATGCATGAACACAATGTGTCCTCTTCTTGCGAAAACAATAGAAGCACTGTTGAAATAAACCCTTTTGTCTTATTGCACTTTACAATACTTACAGCAGTTTCACAGTATAAAGACTTTAGGCTATAAATAATCCAAGATGGCAAATAAAATATGTTGTGATTATCGTACTTTTCAGAAGAGGCTCGCCTCATCCATGTGCAATTCTTGCACTGTGGATAAAAATCCTCACGCTGCCTACATTTCAAAAGTCAAAAGGAAAAGTTAAAAACTAAAATAATATCACTCTGCAAACTGGGTAAAATAAAAAGCCTCTCATGCTTATTTTCCTTGACTAGAGCCGCATTCTTGGCATACTTAAATAGTGAAGGATCCGATTTCCTCCACAGATGAAGCAGATATACAGAAAGTTTGTCCTCAGTAATCCTCCATGGATCAGAAGCAGAAGGTGACTATCATATAAATATCCCATTTTCTGGGAGTTTTGTCACGTTGCATGACTGTCAGAACAGAGGTAATAAAAATGGTGTTGAATCATGATGCCAATAAGCTGTTGCTCACGCTCAGCTGCTGCGATGAGAAAAGTTCCACGTCAAGCAAAATAACGAAAAGACACGGAAAACAAACACAACCATTGTGCCGGAAGCTCAAGTCTGATGCACTTCATGGAACATGAGTTCTCTAGGGATGCGAGTCTCAGGGCCGTAGAGTTTACCAGCGCGACTCTCAAAGGCAGCCACCATTTGCTTTACAACCTCATCAAAGAACACTGTGGCTAGCTGGGAATGCAGAACTGAACGAAACTCAAAGGATATCTGAAAGAAAAGGAGGCAAAAAAAGACAGTGAGGGTGAACATGAAAATAGTAAGGCTTCAAATGATTTAATGCAATTATAAATGCCACTATGTTCTCAAACATATGCAACTGATCATGATTAACTACACACAGTAATGTGTTTAATTAGGATGAATTATTTTTAATTGCTTGACAGCCCTAAAAAATAAATGTATAAATTATCAAAATACTTAGTATGCTGGTGTTTTCAAGGGTATCCATAAGAAAAGGAGAAAAACGAAAGTCAGGATGAACAGGTTAATGCCCCAAATTATTAAATAATGGTAATGCATTTTCCTGGACTAGCTGTATGAAGACGAGAGGGCTACAATCATTTACACCCATTTCACACCAGATGCGATGAGGCGCGCACGTTAATCTGGAACCACTCCACGACACTTATTTCACACCTGTTGCTGGTTTTCTCACCAGGTGATGTAGCATTATATGAAGAGGAGGAGATGCCTGTGTGTTCACAACATAAACCCACTCAAGGAATTTGAGTTTGACTCAGCCTGTCAGAGAGTTAAAACTAGATTAGCTAATTTGTTTACTAGCCTAGATTGTATATTCTAGCATAGACGTTGATTTTCTTCACAATTTCTGCACAGAAACTGCTGACATGCCATGTGTGGCACACGTCAAAAACAGACCCAAAGCGTATTTTTGCACTTCATGTGCGCGTTACCACTGCAGTGAAAGTGTGAAAGGCTACGTAGATTAATACAGGAGCGTATTGTGTGCGACACTGCGCGGCACGCCATGCGGTGTGAAATGGGCTTGAGGATTTGGAACGTGTAGCCACTGATGCTCTCAGTGGATGCTGGTGATAAAAACACTGGACACTGCGTTCACCCTATGGAAATAAATTTTATGATTTTCATTTTCAAGAAACCTGCATTTACATAAAGAGAACCATATACAACACATTCTCCATCAATTTGAAGAACGCTTTCACAATGCAAAGAACCATTTACTCATAGAAAGGGTTCTTTGAATGTTTATGGTTCTATACAGAACCATTCTCTTTACTGAAGAACCATCTTTTTTAAGTGTATACTCTGGCATTTTTCAATGTCCGTTTGCAGCATCTGTAGCAAAAAGCCCATAACTGTGATGTTTTTTTTTCATACTTCCTGTCTACAAAGCATCTACAGTGGACTACCTAAATACACAGTTACCCAGGCTTGTGGCTGAAATGGCCTCACCGCACTGCAGACAGAATGTAGCTAAGGACAGTTAACACTTACAGAAAAATCGACCGTGCACGTCCTTGGATAACCGGGAATGCCTGGACTAAAACGCCATATTGTCTCCAAATGGTTAAAAAGTTTCCCATCTGAGCACACAGCCTGACAAGAGAAATATGAGAACTTCAGCAGCTTGCATCTCTTTTCAACATTTTGTGAAAAATTACATTTCAGTGATGTTCTACAGCAGTGCTCTCCAACCCTGGTCCTGGAGATCTACCTTCTTGCACACTCTAGGGCTACATTCAGACTGTAGGCAAGTCAGATTTGTTTCTCAAATCAGATCTTCTGAGATGGCTGTCTGCACTGCTATTTGGATGCAGGAGAGATCAACATCATACATGAATCTTTGGTGCTCTTTCTAAATTCCATCACTTCTGTGACTCAAGATTTAACACTGTGGTCGTTTGTCACATTGCAAGTGATGCACAAGACACTTTGAAATCCAATTTGAGCATCCAGACGGAGATGCATCTGTAAAAAATCCAATTGGAATCACATTGCAAACCACCACTAAATGTGGCTTGGATCCAATTTGCAGAAATTGGATTTCATGTTTTTTTGCTGTCCAGACTATCAAAAATAAATCTGGATACAAAAAATTGGATTCGGGCTGACAGTCTGAACAAGGCCTGGTACCACAATCAGCCACATTTGCTCCAGCTAATTAACTTCTTCAGAAGTCCCTGATTGGCTGGATCAGATGCCTTAGTGTTAGGTAAAGGTGGTGGGACAGCATGTTAGATAAAAGGTTAGAACCAAACTCTGCAGGAACATCGATCTCCAGGAGGAAGGTTGGTGACCACTGTTGTGCAACATAGAAAGTGTTCAATCTAAGGTTTGTGAAATGTGAATTTTAAGAGGAAAAAAAAAAATCAGAGTTAACTGTTTGTAATTACGGTCACACTTCATTTGGATGGTCCCCTATGGATGATCTACAGATACTCAAATTATTAACTAACTTTCTGGTGATAGCTGATTATCAACAACATTAGGGTTAGGTTTAGGAGTAGGTGTAGGTTTTGCATTTAGGTTAGGGGTAGGGTTAGGGTTAGGTTTAGGGTTAGGGACAGATTTAATAGAAACTTTCACACGCAACTTCAAGTTCAGTTGCATTTAATAGATACATAGTTAAATGTTAGTTAATGCATCTACAAAACATCTACAGTGGACCTTCCAAATAAAATGTTACCTTGATTACTGTATTTTTTAATGTTATACAGTGTGATTAGTTACTTTCATGCTTTGAACGTTATATTCATACTCTTGGCAGTGATGGTCACTGGGGTGGTACCCTCAAGGGTACGTCTTCAGTACCTTTAGTCAAGGAACATTTATATCTCTTTAAATTGTGCAGACTCCACACTCTGTCTTGTCTCCAGGCTTTTTAAAATATTAGTTAATAAAGAGATACAAATATGTACCTTTCGATTGAGGAAATCTCATTTAAGGTGCACAGTTAGAAAACTATTTATGTACCTTTAAGGGTACATTTACATTGTTTGCATCTTGATGAATGAAAAATGTACTGACTGTGTATTTCAACACTGAAAGTCTTAGCAAATGCCTGACAGTTATAGTTAATGCTTTAACTGGAATTTGGAAATCAAAAACTTTGAACATGCCGTATATTTAGTGAGTGCATTCGTTATTGTTATTAGTGTTTTGGGTTTACCTATTAAAAATGTTTTAATATTGAAAGTTCAATTGAGCAGTTATTTTTTGTGGGCCAATGACATCATGGCGTAAATATTAAAATGAAAACAAAATAACTGAAGTCGTTTGAAAACACTTACTTTGACTAAATGAGGGCGAACATTCGTGATCATGGAGGTATACCTCTCCACCACAGGTGGGAAACCGACCTCAAGCTGGGCTTTGGCGTGGCCGGCTCTCTTCATAATAGTTTCTGATTTTTTGCACCATGGAACAAAGTGTTTATAGTCATCTACGTTTGCTACCACGTCATACATTTCCTGCATGGAATACCTGATGGGAAAAAGCATTAATAGTAGGCTGATTGCACACAACTGCATCACTGAATCTTGCTGAAAATACTTCCTCACACAACTTTAGCAGTGCACTAAAGCAGTGTGTCGAAGTTAAGATGGCTTCAGAAATATTATAGAGCTGTATTAGGTCCTTTCTGCGACGGAGACGTCATGGTAATTCCTTCAAATAATTATCTCTCATAACACAAGGTCACACAGAATAGTTAATTCACTGGTGTATATCTATATGTTTACTTGCAGAGCAGATGTATGGAACATAAAAGGTGCACAGTAATCACAGGACAACAGGTATTATCATACCCCATGATCCTTCGCTCAGAATACTGCTTTCTTTTGTTAGCCAGACTGATGAAGGTCCGAGCTGGGGGTGTAGGTGTCGCTCGCTGCTCCCAATAGTATGCCCATCTTTGGGGATTCGTCCATAGGATTCCACATGCTGCAAGGTATCTATAAACCGAGTGCGAAACATCAAATCTCAAAGGAAAAAAAAAACAAAAAAAACAGACTTTGTCCGAAGACAAATCAAGCCTGAGGGAGCATTTTAGTGTTATTGTGATGAAGTACATCACAACACACTTTTTTGAGCACCTTGTGTATATATCGTCTGTACATTAAGGTGCATTTTGGCCTAAAATGAGCATTTAATCTGTTATTTGTCATGTTATGCTATGTGGCAGAGAACCCAGCATTCATGATTTTATCCATACAAGGCCCAGCATGCATTAAGCAAAAACATTATTCAAGCACTGCAAATTTAACTGTGGTAGGTGTGGTAACTGCTGTACTAAACAAATAGGCATGTGTACAACAGATGAAGCAAGATTTAAATTTTTTATTTTGTCTGGAGCGTCCCTTTAGATGAACACTGAGAGCATGATTCATTAACATAGAGAGTACACCTGGTCCTGACTCCTGTTTAATTGGATTTAGTGCAGTTTTGACAATATTTTTTTAATGTGACCACTGGTGCTTCAAACTTACAAAATATCGCAATGTTGAATTTTTGCTGTATTGCACATCACTATATAATTGGCACAAGCACTACATTATTAGGGAACAATTAGTTATTTCACAATATATCAAAATAGAGCTGGGCAATATGACAATACTATCATTATTGGGATGAATTACTTCACAATATGTCAGGATATGCTTACTTAAACAACACTGACAAGCTATTTCACTACAGAAAGAGAATAATTAGTGCTGTGCTATTGGAATTACTGGAGCACAGGATGTGAAATATTGACAACACTCTTAAAAAAGGGGGTTCTTCAAGGGTTTTTAGTAAAGGGGACTGTTCTGTTTAGAACCATTTCGTGCTGAAATGGTCCTTTGCAGGGTGAAATGTTTCTTCAGATTTTTGAAAGTGGTTCTATGTAGCACCAAAATGGGTTACTCTATTGTTACGATATCAAGCTTGAAACAATAGAAGAACCCTTTTTAATGCTACATAGAATCATACACAACACATTGTACATCAATCTGAAGAACCACGGAAATTGACAGCATGAAATGGTTCTGTAGAGAACTCATGGCCCTAAATGGAACCATTCCCTTTACCAACGAATCTCTGAAGAACTATCCTTTTAGAAGTGTGTGCATCATTGTACTCGTTGTCCAGCATCTGCTCACCTGATAGGCTGTTCCAGCCGGACTTTAGACCGAACAGAACTGAAGGAGACATTTATGATGCCTTTGGACAAACGGCGAGTGGCCAGCTGGAGAGCCATTTACGATCTGACTCGAGTTTTTGAAGTGGAAAATCTTCAGACATCACCGGCAGAGTAGCTCCCTATAGTGTCCTCCAACTAGCTTTAGCTTGTAATGACAACAAACCTAAACCAGCGTTAAAAAAGCTTTACGTGGTCACACACGTTTGAAAACTTAGTAAATGCAAAAAACACGGTGATACGACCTGTCGAGTGACCGCCATGGCGATTAACGAAATTAATGAAGAGCGGTAGAAATCATATTTTCCTCCTTAGCTAGCAGGTTAGCGGCTGGGCGGAGGGAGCTGCGGAACCAGCGCCGAACCGAGCTCTAAAACCGGGTAGCGGTGTTCTATCGAGCCCCATTAAACTCAGGAAAGATAAGCTTATATATCCGACAGTGTCGCTAACTTGTTGATGTGTATAAAGAGCTGTCTGACACCTAAACAGAGCAACAGATCCAGTACAGAAGCTCGCTAACCTTCACACAGAACTGACAGACTGTGCTAACGGCTAGCTGTTCGCACGTCATTGTCTCCGCCCACAGCTAGGTGACGTAGCGCGCTCGTCAAGGGACACACAACCGCTGGCCCACCTGCAGCTACCCGTTTTAAAAACATTTATTCAGTGTTTTTCGTGCATTTTAGTAAATATGTGATTTTCCAGTTTAAGAGGAGTCTGGTCGCTCTCTATTTATTCCGTTATTTCAATATGAAAAGCATTTGGACTCAAAACATGTTTAAACATGCACGTTAATACGTTAATAAAATTTTGCGCGTTAACACGTAAAATTTTACTGAAGGCCTTTGGGTTGAAAACATGTGGGAATCTCCGTGTTAAACTGTATAACATAATTTCGTGTTAACCCGTAAATACTTGGTGTGTTATTACGCAAAATGCGTGCGTTAAAACGTGTTAAAGACGCTTATTTTCAGTATTTGGATGTTGCTGCTGTTGGGAAACCTTTGTGCATCGTAATGCTTTACCGCCACTGATGTCGCGTTACTGCTCAAACAACATACAAAACCAACAGATCAAATAAATTAAAAAATACATTTTTTAATTTATTTAGAAAAATATTTTGAACAATGTATTTAGGTATATTTTTTATAAGCATAAATACATTGCATTATTGAACAGTTTAAAGTGTGAGCAATCCCTAATAGTACGATTGGAGTTCAAAAGAAAGTTACGCAAAGCCATTTTTCAAAACTTTCACTTTCAGTTCCTCTAAAGTTTTTTGGCTCCTCCTGGCGTAAACTGGACCGACCCCCCCCCCATTATTTGGTCTGTCGGTTCAGTATGTTGTTTGAGTAATAGCACCACACCAGTAGGTGGCGGTAAAGCCTCATTATTCACAAAGGTTTCCCCAACAGCAGTAAAATCCAAATACTGAACATTAGCGTCTCAACACGCAAATATTTCGCGTGTTAACACTGCGTATATTTACGTGTCAACACGAAATGATGGTATACGCGTTAACACGGAGATTCCGACATGTTCTGAGCCCAAAGGCCTGCCGTACTTCCTATTTATTCCGTTAATTCAAAAACAGGACTGCAAACGCCCGAATGGATGGGAGTGAATGGAGTTCAACAGCTAAATGTGAAAAGTTAAAATGGTTTCTAATCGGTTGTCCAGGACATTCCTTTAATTTAGAAAAGTAGAAGGATGTATTTCACTAAAAAGCAAAGAAAACGTACCTGTATGTTTCCTTTTTCCTGCAGCAAACAGGTTTTGGGCAACATGCCGCTAACATTACCGCTACTGAGTGCTGATTGGCTGCTGTGTGGAGCCCCTTTAATGTGAAGCCTGGCCTCTTCCTCATTAACCCCTTATATCAAAATATGACTGAAAAACGCCAGAGGGCGCCCGCGAGCGAATCCTCAATGGGAGAGGGCAAAAGAAGCTAAAAACGAAATGTTAAAATAATCGCTTGCCCAGAACCTTCCTTTAATTTTAGAAAGTAAAAGGATGTATTTTACTAAAAAAACAAAGAAAAGTTACCTGTATGTTACATTTTTTTCTACAGCAAACTGCTATTTTGGGCAGCAGGACGCTAACATTACTGCTATTGAGTGCTGATTGGTTGGCGAGCGGAGCAGCTCATTGGCTGTTCACGCTAATTGACATCATGAACATACATAAGGCGCTGTTTTAGACTCTTATAACTCGAGTTCAAAAGCGTTAAAAATATAACAGCTATTTTATGCTGTTCTTTGTCTGGGAAATGAATGTATACTTTTATATTAAAATGTTTAAGCATTTATAAACTAAAATTTTACTCAAATGCCCCATCTTAACCCATTCATTTTGGACTGGCTCAGGAGCACCCTCTAGTGTTTGAGAAACCCAGAAGACTATACATACATTAAAATACATACATTTGATGTGATAGGTATTCAGGTTACATTACATTCATAAATAATATTATTTTACAGTTTTTTGCAATTGCTTACACACTAAATTAAGAAATAACAAAGAATCAGTGAAACCTGACACTGAAAAAAAAAAACTTACTTCAGTAGCAGTACTTTTTTCAGTACTACTACTTTACTGATATATTGTTGATGTGTTACTGATAATCGGGACTACTTCAAATAAAGTGATACCGAAACATTACTTGCTGACAAACGTGAATCAAACTTACTAATAAAATATTAAAAAACACAAAGATACAAACTGATTTCACCGCTAATCCTCTACATTCTCTTGATCTCCAATACCTTTCATTATATTATGAACATTTAATTTCAAAAAGATTTAAAAACAGAATTACACAAGTCTGTTCTTACCTGCTGAAAGATCATTCATGCTGCTGAAAAGGTTAGAGCTGTGTTCAAGTTGCAGCTGTGTTTGGCAGGAATCCAGGATCACCGTCTGTCTGTCTTGTCAGTGACTAATCTTATATATGATTAGGTAGTGTCCAGTCTGTTGTGTTATCTGGTTGTTGTTTCGTTTCTCAGGGCCTTGAGAACTTTTAACACAGTGGTTAACACAACCCAATAGCAGGGGGTGAACAGCGGGGTGCCAGTTACACAGAGGTACACACTTTAGCTGATGCATCAAAAAGAAACCTGAGTCTCAACACTCACTGTTTTTTTAGATCAAGTTAGTTTAACTTTATCAAATCATGCAATTAAAAATAATTAATTCCACACATGGTTTAAATCTACCAAGGCTCTAGTCCAGAGTAATGAGGTAACAACATAAAACGAATAGATCAAGACAACCGATTTAATGCTCAAGTGAATAGTTTGTTTATTAGTCAGGGAAAATAGTCACAGGGTTTTAGACTTCAATAACCAACAAAACCCCCCATGAAACTACCTTCCCTAATGCAAAAAAAATAGAAAAACTAAATACTGCGGGTGCTTGTCTACCTCCCTCAACAGGTAAACAGGAGAAAAGGATACATCACAACATGTTATGTCCATTTTACCATCTTGGCTGTAAAAATGTCTCAGTATGTGCTAATGTACTAGTATAGACTAAAAAATATAATATAAACAAAAGCACAGCCTTACTTTGCTCTGCTTGAAGCTTTAGCTCAGCTATAGCTGCTTTTCTCACATCTCTGACAGGAAACTTTTCCACAAAAGTAGAATTGTTTCTTGTAGAATGTCCCTAAACATTTGACTATTTGTGAGGCTGAAGTTGCTTCTCATTCACCAGCATCTTCTTCAAATTTTCCCGTTCCACCTTAAATGGTGTCTGAGGCGCCAAAATGTAACTGCTGCGCCATTTAAGGTAGAACAGGAAAATTTGAACAAGAACCTGGTGAATGAGAAGCTGACTTTGGCCTCGTGACTTTTCAGTGTTTGACCGTTTCTCGTTGGAGATTAAATGTATCAGGAAACCAGCTGGAGTCATTATAAATGCAAATAAGTCAGTTTGTCTCCAAATTATATTGCCTCAAATCTTTCTCTTTGCCTTTTCGTTAGCTACTGCTTCTTGTCTGTGTTACTATGGTGACCATCAGTCTGCGTGCCAACGTTCAGGGTAAAAGGGTGAATTAGCAGTTATGCATTAACTTCAGCGTTTAAGACCATTTAGTGTTAAAACTGTGTTAAACGATCAGCAGAGCTTTATTTTAGAAGGATTATTTTTTTTTTACTAGAATCTAATTCTGCTGTGGAGCCACAACAGGAGCCGCATGCTGCTAACCCCTGACCTAGGAGAGAGAGAAAGAAAAACATGGAAGACCAGCGGAGGACAGCACCAGAGATGTCTTGGCTGTAACAATATCATCAAAATATTTGATCAAACCTTTTGCCAACAAAAGAACGACTGCAGTGTCTAACACAAGAACTACTAATCAATCAGGATTTCTTCTGCCTTTACTAAGTGTTGCAGTTCCCTTCATTAGCAGTTTGTCAGAGGTAGCATGTAAACCACTAAAAAGATGTATTTGGTGCCTCAACACCAACTCAATAAGCCTATAACCGTGACGAGTGGTGAAGAAAATGTTAGACAGATGGTGGACAATGATTTAGTTGAAGTGATGCGTCATATTTTGACCGGGTCTCGCTTGAATCCTTATGAAAAGGCAAAGCTTTATGCGTCAGCTCTGAAAGGATTTTTAAACATTGTCAAACAAGGAGATGAAGAAACAGCCCAACTAACCCAATCCTACCTGTTGAATCTGAAAATAAGACCGTGATCGGGCTGGTTCTCCAAAGTATCTTTCAATAGATGGTTCTTTGCTGTCCACCTCTGCATTAGGGTTCATCAAGCGAAGGCTGATGTTGCACTGCTTTATTTCAATGGAGAACCGTGACTATTAGAGCTAGGCCTTTAGTTTGGACCATAAATATCAAAACTACGATAATGCTAATTTCTGCTAGCCTCCGTATGGAATTCTAGTAGTATGTTAGTGCTAAGCTAACAATGGTGCACATGAACATTACTTGTCCATTCTATATAAAAGGTGGACAGTTGAAGCCTTTAAAACAGACATTGACATCTATCAGAACCTGTATGTTTCAGTTTTACAGTGACTCTTTCAGTAAAGTGTCCTGACATAGAGCTGCTGCTGTCCTAACAACTAACCCAAACCTGCCTAGACTACAGCTCACATTCACAGTCAGTGACGTATCTAGAACTTCTAGAAGGAGTAAGGTTATGTTTTTATTCAATAAATTGGTCCCAGATGTGACTGGTTGATTCTTTTGTCACTTCCTAATTACATTGCTAGTTAATTTGACGTTTAAGGTCTTCAGTCCAGCTCCTGAAGTCCTAACCAATGGGAGAGCTCACTTGGCTGCATTTACCCAGATACCACAGAGAAAACAATCCTGATTGGATAATTTTCCATTGTGAATTTCAAGAATGTAACCCTTTAGTTTCCAACTAAAATGTTGAAATAAGAGCATTACTACAATACTTTGTGTTAAAATAATACAATAAAAATAAGCAACAATGAGAGATTTATTTTATTTTACAGAAATCATTAAAAGACAAGAAAGACATCATTTTAAAAAGTGAAATCATTGACATTTAAGGAATATTAACTTAGAAATCTTAATAGAAAAAAGAACACAAAATGAAGCTTAACATTAACTAATAACCAACAATATTTATAACATAGCAATAACATAATAAATTCAAACAATATTTATAACATAGCAATAACATAACAATAAACTCAAACAATATTTATAACATAGCAATAACATAACAATAAACACTAAAACTAACTTTTTTTTTGCTTTTTTTTTTTTTGCATTGCTTTTTGGCAGTTTAATTAAAGGGCAACGTCTCCCTCTTTCCATCATCCTGATGCCTCCTCCATGTCTTTGAGTCTTTTACTCTATTTCCTCCTGATCTGACCCTCTGGTGTCATGCATGAACTGCACCTCCAGCTTTGGGAGCATGAAGAAGAGGCCACCGCGGAGCTACAGATCAAAGCAGCAAAGAGGACAATATATTCACTAAAGGTAAAGAGACGCACTTATCAGTTAGTTAAAGAGGGAATTTCACTATTTATTAAAAAATCCTGCATAATGAAATGGTTAAGATGTAAACAGAGTCATTCAGAGTGGTTTGGTGTGAAATGCTCTATTCTAGAGAAAATAACAGTCAGAACTGTTCACAGTGGTGGTGATAGGAACCAGATGTCCACCTCTAAAAGCTCCCTCACACAATGTTTTTACATACAATAGTTAAAAATACACTTCCTGATGTCTGAGACATTGTTTTATAACAGTTTTGAGAAGTTTTTGGCCTAAAATATATATTTTATTAATGAGAAGGGATATATGCAGAGTGCTGTGAGGCAAAATATTCCCCAAAGAAAATGTTTGTTTACATTTATCACTATTTTACCATCATCAACATTCAATATAAAACTCAGAAGACACGTGTGGGTTCACTTATGGTTTTGGATAGTAAAATGTCTATATTTATCTTGCAGTCCTAGTGACCCCTGGTTCCTATCACCACCACTGTAAAGGAATCTGAACCATTTCACACCAAACCACTCTGAATCACTCTGTTTACATCTCAAACAGAAAATTTGAAAAAAATGCCCCAATAAAGCTCATCAATTTGACCTCACGTTACCCACTAAACATAATAAGTACTAATAATACATACCGTTTTTTCTCTGGATTTCCTGCCCCAGTTAACCTTCATTGTCAAGATCTGCACCTCATACTCCTGGTGCTGATCTGTGACGTTGTTGTCAGAAGAGGTCCTGAAGGTTTTTACCTCCTGCTTCTCCTCCGGTGTCCTCATAGAGTCCAGCAGCAGCTCTAGAAGGAGAAAAACACAGTTCAACAACATTTCCATTCAGTTCATGCCTCTCTAGTCCAGGCTAGGCATTGGGCATGGAGACTTTAGGCTCATGTGTGGCTGTTCCAGAGTGTCCCATTTTATTGGTCAGTGCTTTTCTGTGAAGTGCAAGCTGAGTGGAGGCAATTGAGCACCTGAGTCAGCAATGTTTACACATTAAAGGGGAATTCCACTGATATTTCACATCAAATAGCCAAATTATTCAGAAATTAAAAAAAATATGGTGCAATTCCCCTTTAACGTAGCTAAATTCACTCATTAGAAGGGTGTCTACAAATGTTTAGAAATATAGTGTATATAAACATTATTTCTCACCACTTTTTTCAGGGGTGTAGACAGACGTCAGAGTGGTGGTGGTCTGTCCACTCAGCTTCATTTCATTTCCCTCCCTGAGATGCTTATTAGCAGAGCTGATAAATTTTTGGAGAGGCTCAATCAGTGAGACAGGATGTGAGGTCAGAGGGTGGACGACAGGAAGAGTCTCTACAACACAAAGCAGCAGTCAAATGACGTGTTCTTGATCTTCTGAGTGAATATAAGTGAACACATCCTCTACAGAGAGCACATTGTACATTTTAATACACAATTACTGTGAATGTTGCTGAATTTAACATACTGGGAAAAAAATATAAACTAAACAGGCCACATTTTCTCTTTTTTCTCTAATATGTCAGATTCAGTAAATAAACAGTAAACAGTGCATTAAATTGTGCAGAAGTGTGATCTCTGTAGATTTTCACAACAACAACTTGTCCAGAGGTGCCCAAACTTTTGCACACAACAGTAACAGTAGGATGTCAGGTCTGTCTTTGTGGTGCTGTTGCTGATGGACGCTCGCTAGTCAGGTATGTTATGGCCGCCGAATCTCCACAGCAGCTTTAATACAGCATGTCTAACATACCGTTCAGCTCTGTGTGTCTCTCTGACCACGTCCTCTTCCTCATCATCTTCATCTTCAGCATCCTGACCTCACAGTCCTGTGGGCGGACACTGATGCTGTGATGAAAGGGGACCTTGATGGTGTTCGTCTCCCTCTCGTCCAGTCTGATCAGAGTGCTGTGAGGAGCTGTGTTGAGGAGCAGGTCTAGGAGGAGTAAAACCCAGTTTAACCACATTTTCATTCACCGCAGTGGATGTGACGATCAGTATTAACACTGTGATACTGAACACTGTTAATATGAACATGCAAACCTATGGAAATATAAGAAGTGTGAATGTATGATTGATTCATATTTGTAATGTCTCTATTTAACATTTGCACTGTTTCTTCAACCTCACCATTAATCCGCACTGTGATCGGTTGAATGTTGTTGTCAGTAGTTGCTCCACTGATGCTGCAAACTGGGCCAGAAAAACATTTACATTTAAGACAATTACCACACAGTACACTGCAAAAAATATCTAAGCAACTGAAAACATCTTAAATCTATTCAATATATCTAAGATTTCTCATTGTGAGAATCTTGAGAAAATATCATATGAATATTTAACATATTTCTGGACATTTTTATCTCGTTTTGAATCATTTTATGTAGTGAAAGTTTTAAATGGACAGATAATTTTGCACAAAATTATCTGCATTATTCCCCGAAACAGGAGCAATGAACTGCCAATGGAATAAGACACTTTCAATTAGTAACACTATAGCTGGAAACAAGCAAAAACATAGTGAAATAGGTCAAATAATCTTATAATATTCTTACAATAGTTTCGTAATGAGTAATATTAGATATTTTGGCTAGAGATGTTTTTTTCAGTATTCATGTAAACACTGCCTAAATGATATCTTGGCAAGCGAAATGATCTTATATCTAGTTAATATATGTAATATTTATATTTGTTGTAAGCTTATCATAAGATTAGTCCCTTTTTTTCTTGTTTTAAATGATTTAGGTCAAATGATTTCACTACGTTGGGATATAAGTTTGCTTGTTTCTTAAAACAAGCAACATTTTCTGCTTCTATATTGTCTCACTCAATAAAGTCACTTATAACAAGAAAAACTGTTCAGAAATAAGTTCAATATTCTTATCATAAGCTTAGAACATTCTCATGATGAGAGACATTAGATATGTTGGCTTGTGTAAATTCACACACAGCACTGTAATCTCCTCCTTTCTGCTTCACCTTGATCCTCAACATGGTGGTCAGGCCTCTGAATGTCATAGACGTCGTCACTCCACCTCAGCTGCTCCTCTCTCTGCCTGAAGTGCTTCAGCCACTTTCTCTCCATCACTGCAGCACAATCCAGATCAAATCTATCACCTGAACTCTCACAGTCAGGCTCAGCAGCGCTCCTATCAGCTCTGTTAGCTGTGCAGGTGGAGTGGTCAGTGGTGACGAGGGCGAGAGACACTTCTGATGAACAGAGAAAGTGAACAATGGATCAAAGGAACAATGAAAGTCAAGTGTGTGAGCTTCTTAATGCTAAAGCATCATAAACTGCTACCTTGCTCCTCTTTGAGCTTTGTCACCCATTCAGTCTTAATGTGGGTCCTGCAGTGGTCAGTCTGGGCTGCAGCAGAGCTGTTAGAGTTGCTGGATTCCTGCAGCTGCTGCTCCGTGTTCTCATCAGAAGCAGTGAAGGTCGACTTCATAACTGCTTCCTGCAGCAGCTCTGATGTGAGCAAAGAAAGTGGATTAAGGACACTTTGTATGTTTACAGTTACAGACTGTAGCTCATCTGCTGATGAACAGTTCATCAGCCCCCTTTAACAATCCATCGTTGGAAAGGGACCACCAAAGGACCACCACTATCCAGATATTATTTGGGTGGTCGATTCTCAGCACAGCAGTGACTCTGATATGTGTAAAAGCTTCAGCAGCACCACCTTGAATGACACACACACTACTGCTGTGCTGAGAATGGACCCATGTAACATACAGTAAACAGGATATTTTGAAATATTAACAATGTTTACAAACTACATCAAACACCTTTATTTTGAAAAAGTGAGTAAAACTCAGTTTACTGTGATGTTTAAACAGTGGCTGAGTTCTCTTCATTCTCTCTCACAGTTTTACCTTCAAGCAGTTGCTGAATCATCTCAGCTTCATCAGACGCAGAAACCCTGGATTCCTCCCAGACTGGAAGACCTGAAATGATGAAATTAGTAGTAAAATTAGTTGTTTATCTGCTTTAAAGTAATAATTATGAACTCTTATTTTATCATGCATTCCTGGCTGAACTTACAGAGCAGATCTGCTGCCACACAGTCCTTCTCCTCCTCCTCCAGCAACATCTTCTCCTCTGTTCTGTCTCTGATGTTCTCCAGCTCTGCCTTCTGTTCCTCCACCACAGACGGGCTCTCCACACTGACCTCCTCCACCACAGCTGGGCTCTCCACACTGACCTCCTCCTCCAGGACCTCAACAGTCTCCACAACCTTCACCTCCTCCTCGATATCCTGCACCTGCTGCTTCTCTTCTTTCTTCCTCTCCATGATCACCACCACCACCATTCTGACCTTTTTTTTGCCCTTCTTCTCATCCTTCTCCTCCTCCACCACAGCCGTCTCCACATTGACCTCCTCCAGCAGGATATCTTTCTCCATTCTGTCATTGCCCTCAACTTTCACCTCCTCCTCCACAACCTGCTCCTCCTGCTTCTCCTCGTCCTTCATCTGTTTATGTTAGAAATGATGTTCAGATTATTTTACTGTATTTAAAACTGACTGACTGTAATTTTCATACCAGATCTAGAATTATTCACAGCAAATGCTGAATAATTCCATGTAGTTTCTAAATAAATCAGAGTAATTACTGAGTAATTCATAGTAAATACTGAATACTTCATAGTATTTAATGAATAATTCATAGTACTTACTGAATAATTCATATTATAAAACGGATGGTTCCGGTCCTAAAATCTGATTGGCTGAGTCGCATTTGAAGCCGTTGTACAATCATCGGGATGCGCACAGCTATGACCGCCTCACAGCAACTGAACTCTGTATTACTGCACCACAGTACAAAAAAAAACCCTTGTGCTGATAATGGAATAATCTCTGACTCTCGTGCTGCTCACAGGGACCACCGAGTATATCGATGAAGTGAGAACCCGTATTTTGTTTAAACTGAGCGGCTGGCAACTTATGATCTTAACTAGAGCTCGGCTGGTCAGCTAGACTCCCGGCGGTGATTTGGTGACCAAAAAGTACTTAGTATTAATAATAATTTTCTGAAAAAAATGTGTATTTTATCATTTTTTATGTTGTCCGCCGTTTATTAAAAGCAATAAGCCACTCGAGGCTGTTACTGCGATTTATATCAGTAAAGGGAGTTTAGAGCAGAAAACAGTGACACAATCACAGTAACGCTCAGCCTCTCGCGGCTTATTGCTTTAATAGATACTGAATAATTCATAATCGATACTGAACTCTCCTCAGTTCTCACCTCCTCAGGATCCTGCACCTCCTGTTCTTCATCCTTCACCTCCATTATCACCTCCTTCTCCTCCTCCAGCACCTTCTCTTTCTTCTCCTCAACAATAATCTGTCTCTCCTTCATGCCTCCTTCCTCCTGCACCTCCACCAGCTTCCCAACCTGCTCCTCCTCACTTCCTCTCTCCTTCTTCTTCCTCCTCCATTTCTTTTCTTTCTTAACATGTCCTGCTTTTCTCAGCTGACGCGCTTCATTTGGTTCGTCTTCGTCCACTTGCGGCCAAAAGCAGCAGAGCAGCATTTTGTCTGCAGTTTGAGTCGATGTCCAGCAACCAAATGACCACAGTCTGAGTTTCGGAATGTTCTCTCAGTGCTAAAGTTCTAAAATGTGTCTGTGACATCACTCATTTAAACTGTTGTCACAAACAAGCTCTCTTTGAAAGACGTTGGTTACTGTTGCCACATGATGAATCTAATGGAATTCTGAGTTGCTGTTATTGAAGTAAATGGGCAATAAACACTGAGGAACCCTCACTGTATACATATATACATACAGCTGTATGGAAAAGTTCTGGCGCCCCTGTTCAAATGACATGTTTTGTTGATTTTCGAAGAGAAAACATGTTCAGGTGTTCAGTCAAGTGGTTTTTATTGTTATTCTTCTATATAACTTTCATACATTGGAGTGAAATGTGGTCCTTTAGGCCCAAAAGGCCACCAGCAGTACATTACACAGAACCACACAGAGTGAAGAGACACGAAAGAGTGAAACGAAAATATAACCCTATTTCCAAAAAAGTTGGGACGCTGTGTAAAATGTAAATAAAAACAAGATGCAATGACGTGCAAATAATTTAAACCCTATAATTTAATTGAAAATAGTACAACGACAACATATCAAATGTTGAAACTGAGAAATTTTATTGTTTTTCGAAAAATATATGCCCATTTGGAATTTGATGGCAGCAACACATTGCAAAAGAGTTGGGACGGGAGCACCAAAAGGCTGGTAAAGTTGTGTTATTCCAAAACCAAAAACACCTAATTGTTAATGGTCAACAGGTCAGTAACATGATTGGGTATAAACAAGCATCCTAGAGAGTCTTTCAGAAGTAAAGATGAGGAAGCATTCACACTTCTGTGAAAGACTGCATGAGCAAATAGTGCAACAATTCAAGAATAACATCTTCAACGTAAAATAGCTTTTAAAGCAAAGTATTTGTAATGATCCATAATGAATTTACTTCCAGTATCTTTTATTAATAAATCAAATGGAAGTGATGTGACAAGTGAACTAGAAGACTCTCATTCACTGCTATTGCTTGGAGCACATGAGACGCTGCTGCCACTCATCTGCGATGACGGGACGTATGCAGCATAGCGCGAAAGCCCTGTTTCGCAACGACTGAGAATTGCCGTGCAGACTGCAGGTCACACAGCAACGATGCATTATTCACATTTATAAGCAATGCAGTTTATAACCAGTTTCCTGGCAAGTTAAATCTGCAACGAGAGACTGTCAAACTGTAAAAAGTCGCAAAGATGAAGTCGCTTCTCTTCCCAATTTCTCGTTCCACCTTAAATGGTGCCGCATTTACATTTGGCGCCTCAGTCAGAATTTAAGGTGGAACGGGAAAATTCGAACAAGAAGCTGGAGAATGAGAAGCAACTTCAGCTTTGTAAGACAGCCGAACGCTGAGAGACATTTTACAACAAACTCTTCTAGTTTTGAAGAAAAGTTTTCTGGAGGAGATGGGAGGAAAGCGGCTAAAGCTAAAGCTTAAAGCAGAGCGAAGTAAACCTGCACTCTCGTTTATATTGTTTAGCCTATACAAAGATATTATCACATACTGAGACATACTGGACATAAAATGTTGTGGCTTCCAAGGTGGTTTGATTTTTGTTGAAAGGACAAAATGGCTCTTCTTAACATTTGGGTTGTGACTCCTGACCTAACCTGGCTTTTAATGCAGAGGGAGCCGGACGGATTTCTTACACATCCATGTGTGTTTTTGTTGTGTGCCGTCACAGACTGTCCGGGGCTGCACTTACCCACTTCCAAGTTCTGCCTTTTGCGTTCCGTCAACATTACGTTATAAATTAAACATTTAGAAAATCGATTTTTGACATTTGTGAATCGATTCAGAATCGTTCATGTCCGCATCGCGATGCATCTAAGAATCTATTTTTTCCCGCACCCCTATCATCTACGGTACATAATACCATTAAAAGATTCAGAGAATCTGGAGAAATCTCTGTATGTAAGGGACGAGGCCAAAAACCAGTATTTTCTGGCCATGATCTTTGGGCCCTCAGGCAGCACTGCATTCAAAACAGATTCTGTAGTGGAAATCACTGCATGGGCTCAGAAACACTTCTGAAAACCACTGTCTGTGAAAACAGACAATACAAGTACAAATACAAGTGAAAACTCTAAAATGCAAAGAAGAATCCATGTATAAACAAGATCCAAGAATGCTGCCACCTTCTCTGACTCCGAGGTCCTTTAAAATGGACTGTGAGGAAGTGGAAAAGTGTCCTGTGGTCTGATGAATCAACATTTGAAATTTTTTTTGGGAAATTATGGACGTTGTGTCCTCTGGGGAAAAGACCACTCAGCTTGTAATCAGTGCACAGTTTAAAAGCCAGTATTCATGATGGTATAGGGGTGCATTAGTGCACATGGCATGGGTGACTGGCACATCTGTGAAGGCACCATTAATGCTGAACAATATATACATGTTTTGGCAACAGATGCTGCCGTCCAGATGACGTCTTTTTCAGGAAAGGCCTTGCTTATTTCCACATATGCATAACCACATTACACACCACTGTATTAATAGAGTCCGGTTGCTAAACTGGTCTGCCTGCAGTCCAAACCTGTCACCACTAAAAAAAACATTTGGCGCATTATGAAATGAAAATTATGATAAATGGGCCCCCGAAATGTTGAGCATCTGAAATCCTATATCAAGTAATGATGTGAAAAAACAGTGTCTCAACAGGTAAACAGGAGAAAAGGATACATCTAAAAAACAAGTGGCTCTCATCCCAACATAGTTGTGACTAGTAAGTTATAGCAGTTGTTAAACAAGCAACATCGTACACGTATCAAACAGGAGACACAGCTAAACAGTACTAAATCAAATCACTAATACAAACATCAATTCTAGTTAATACTGGTGTAACTCTATCAGCTCAAATCACAAGGCAAACAACAAACAGTAAAAGAGCAGCATAACTACAGCCCCTCCCAGAGACCACCATGGACCACATGGTGAAACACCGTGAGTCAAACTGCATCTAATGGCTGTCGCTTTGAATCTTCATGCAGCAACCAATCACACCATGCGTTGGAACCAGCTGACACCAGTATCTCTACACAGATAAGAGGTCGGCAACCCAAATGTTAAGAAGAGCCATTTTGTCCTTTCAACAAAAATCGAACCACCTTGGGAGCCACAACATGTTATGTCCATTTCACCATCTTGGCTGTAAAAATGTCTCAGTATGTGCTAATGTACTAGTATAGACTAAGAAATATAAACGAAAACACAGCTTTACTTTGCTCTGCTTGAAGCTTTAGCTCAGCTATAGCTGCTTTTCTCACATCTCCGACAGGAAACTTTTCCACAAAAGTAGAATTGTTTCTTGTAGAATGTTACTCAACATTCGACTTTTTGTGAGGCTGAAGTCGCTTCTCATTCACCAGCGTCTTCTTAAAATTTTCCCGTTCCACCTTAAATGGTGTCTGAGGCGCCAGAATGTAACTGCTGCACCATTTAAGGTAGAACAGGAAAATTTGAACAAGAACCTGGTGAATGAGAAGCTGACTTTGGCCTCGTGACTTTTCAGTGTTTTACAGTTTCTTGTTGGAGATTAAATGTATCAGGAAACCAGCTGGAGTCATTATAAATGCAAATAAGTCAGTTCATCTCCAAATTATCGATGTTCGTCTTAAATCTTTCTCT